ATCACTTAAAAAGAAACCCTCTACCCATTATCAGTCACTCCCTATTCCCCCTTCTCCCCAGCCCCTGGCAACCACTAATCTACTTTCTGTCCTGTGGATTTGCCTATTCTGGACATTTCGTATAAATGAAATCATACAATATGTGGTTGTTTGTGTCTGGCTTATTTCACTTAGCATAAACTCCATCCATGTTGTAGCATATAGCAGAACTTCATTCCGTTTTGTGGTAAAATAATATTCCATTATATAGATATTCCACATTTTGTTTATTCATTCATCTGTTGATGGACATTTGGGTTGTTTCCACTTTTGTCTATTATGAATAATACTGCTTTGGACATTCATGTTCAAGTTTTTGAGTGGACGTATGTTTCAATTCTCTTGAGTATATACCTAGGAGTGGAATTGCTGGGTCATATGGTAACTCTATGTTTAACTTTTGAGGAACTGCTAAATTGTTTACCACAGCAACTTCACCATTTTATAGTCCTACCGGAAATGTATGGGGGCTACAATTTCTTCCTTGCCAACACTTGCTATTTTCTGTGTTGTTATTATTATGTTTTGATTATTGCTATCCTAGTACATATGAAGTGTTTGCTCATTGTGAAGAACACTGAATATACCATGGACTGCCAGAAGAATGAACAAATCTCTTTTGGAAGAAGTACAGCCAGGATGCTCCTTAGAAGCAAGGATGGCAAGACTTTGTCTTACATAATTTAGACATGTCATCAGGAGGGGTCAGTCCCTGGAGAAGGACATCATGCTTAGTGAAGCAGAGGGTCAGCGAAAAAGAGGAAGACCTCCAAAGAGATGGATTGACACAGTGGCTGCAACAATGGGCTCAAACATAGTAACAATTGTGAGGATGGCGCGGGACCAAGCAGTGTTTTGTTCTATTGTATATAGAATTGCTATGAGTTGGAAATAACCTGATGGCACCTAACAGCAACAACAACGATTAATGATTTTGAGCATTTTTTTCATGTGCTTATTGGCTATTTGTATGTCTTTTTTTTGAGAAATGTTTATTCAAATCATTTGACCATTTTCAAATTGGGTTATTTGTTTTCATATTACTGAGTTTTAAGAGTTCTTTATATATTCTGGATATTAGACTCTTGTCAGACATATGACTGCAAATATTTTCTCCCATTCTGTGGGCTGTCTTTTGACTTTTTTGATAGTGTCCTTTGAAGCACAAAAGTTTTAAATTTTGATGAAGTCCAGTTTATCTAGTATTTCTTTGGTTACTTGTGTTTTTGGTGTCATATCTAAGAAATCATTGCCTAATCCAAGCTCATGAAGATTTATGCCTATGTTTTCTTCTAAGAATTTTATGGTTTTAGCCCTTACATTTAGGTCTTTGATCCATTTTGAGTTCATTATTGTATATGATGTGAGGTGGGAGTGAAGCTCCTTCTTTTTTTTTTAAATTATACTTCAGGTGAAGGTTTACAGAACAAATAGGTTCTCATTAAACAGTAGTACACATATTGTTTTATGACATTGGTTAACAACCCCACGACATGTCAACCCTCTCCCTTCCTGACCTTTTTTATTTTTATTTTTGGTGAAAATATACATAGCCAAAGATACACCACTTCAAAAATTTCTACATGCACAGTTCAGTGACATCGACTATGCTCTTCTGATTGTGCTGCTATTCTCACATTAGATGAAGGTTTACAGAACGAAATAGTTTCTCATTAAACAGTTAGTACACGTTGCCCTATGACAATGGTTAACAACCTCACAACACTTCAGCACTATCCTTATTCAACCTTGCGTTTCCTATCACCAGCTTTCCCATCCGCTTCTGCCTTCTAGCCCTTGTCCCTGGACTGCTGTGTCTCATTAGTCCCATTTGGTTTTATGGAGCTGTCCACCCCCTGGCTGAACGGTGAACCTCGGAAGTGACTTCACCACTGAGCTAAAAGGGTGTCTGGAGGCCATACCCTTGGAGTTTCTCCAGTCTGCTTTAGGCCAGTAAATCTGGTCTTTTCTTTGTGAGTTAGAATTTTGTTTTACATCCTTCTCCAGCTCTGTCCAGAACCCTCTGTTGTGATCCCAGTCAGAGCAGTCAGTGGTGGTAGCCAGGCACCATCCAGCTGTACTGGACTCAGGCTGGTGGAGGCCTTGGTAGCTGTGGTCCGTTAGTCCTTGGGACTAATCTTTTCCTTGTATCCTGTTCTCTTCATTCTCCCTTGCTCCCGAAGGGGTGAGACCAGTGGAGTATCTGGGCTTTTAAGACCCCAGATGCTACTTACCGAGGTAGAATGTAGAACGTTGTCTTTATAAACCGTGTTATGCCAATTGAGCTTGATGTTCCCTGAGACCATGGTCCCCACCGCCCTCCGCCCAGCAAGTCAGTCCCTCAGGGAGTTTGAATGTGTCTATGGATGAGGCTCCTTCTTAAGGCCTCTTTCTCTCTCTTTTCCTGTGCCATAACCACACAAGAATGAAACTGTGCTGGTCATTCTTTAGCAACTGGTACTAATGGAGCTCCCAGTTTCAGGCTCAAGGCCTGGCACCCAGGTAGTAGTCCACAAACATTTCCATTTGCGTAGAATTTGACCGTTTAAACTATGTTCTCCCCAAACCAATGTTTAAATTTGATCTCCCCAATAAACAAATCAGAATATTGTCCAACCTGAGCTATGAGAAAACATATTTGGAGGGGTTGAAGGAGTTACCTAAAGTCATCAGGAACCCTATTGGCAGAGTCAGAATTTGAACCCTGAGGAGAGAACCCTGGAAAAATGGAGTTGAAGTCCTAGGTCGTAGCCCCAGCTCCACCACTTGTTACCTGTGTGAACTTGCACAAGTCATATCTCTCTTGGGATCTCAATTTTCTCGTTGGTGAAGTGAGTTGACCTTGAGTAATTACAATAATAATAATTTATTGGGCATTTACCACATGCCAGGCTCTGTGACAGGCACTTTGCTTATAACACCTCCAATTCTTTCAATAACTTTGCAAAGCAGGTACAATCTTCATTCCGCAGAAGAGGAAATTGAGACTCTGAGGCCAGTAACTGAGGCCACTCAGTTTGGAAATGGCAAGACTGGGCCAGGAACCCATGCTCTTTCCTCCTCACCACCCTACATTTCCAAGTCACTTATTCTTTTTGAGCTTCAGTTTCTTTATCTATAAAAATCAATAAACATTCCTTCCTCATAGAGTTGCTGTGAATCCTGTGTGCAGAGCCATTAATTCATTCACTGAATCTTTATTGAGTAGTTACAAATGCCAGACTCTGTTCTAGGTTACAGATAAGAACATAAAACGAGACAAAACCCCTGCTTCACTGGAGCTTAGATTCTAGTGGGAGGAGGGAAAACAAAAAAAAATCAAGAAATTTTACAGCCATAAAGAGAAATGAAGTCCTACGATATGGACGAAACTTAAAAACATTCTGAGTGAAAGCAGTCAGTCACAAAAGGACAAATATTGTATGATCGCATTTATATGAAATAGGCAAACGTATAGAGACCTAAGCATATTAGTCCTTATGGGGCAGAAGGAAGGGAGAAAGGGGGAGTCATTACATTGGGGGCACTGGGTTTTTGTTAATGGCGGTGGAATAATTTGGAAAAGGATAGTGTTGATGGTTGCACAACCTGATGAACACTGAACTGTACATGTAAATACCGTTGAATTGGCAACAGTTTTGTCATATGTATTTTTTACCACAAAAAAAAAAAAAAAAAGAGACAAACAACCAGGATCAGATAGTGATGAGTGCTATGAAGAAACAGCGTGATGGGGGTGGAGTGAGTGACGGCCATCAGGGAAGCCCTATGAAGAGGTGATATTTGGGCGAAGGTCCGGATGACTAGAAAGAAGGAGATGTGGGAAAACCTGGGGACAGGCTGTTCCAAAAAGAAGGAACAGCGAGTACGAAGGCTTCAAAGGAGGGACAAGCTTGTAAAAGACAGAACGAGATAATATAAGTAGAAGTCAAGTGAACGCTATGGGATCAATTTACTGCAACAAACTTTTACTATGCGCCCACGATGTGCCGATAACTGCTCAGCACCGAGTTGTCAGAGACGTTAAGTAAGGTCCCTATCCTCGAAATGGCGTACCTAATTAAAAAAAAAAAGTTGCCGTCGAGTCGTCTCCGATTTAGCGACCTTATGCAGTCTGGTCAAGAAGTGAAACATTTATTTTCATTCATGTTTTTGCAGATGTGCCCTGCGGCCCAGAGACAGTGCCAGGGGAGATCGCAGGCCGACGTACCCAGATTCCGAGGCCTGGTTAATTTTCTTCGCAGCCACAGTGTCTCTGCGGCTTCGACCGCCCTCCTAGCACCAGGGTGCGCTACGCAGTCTTTCAACGTGGGCGGGAGGACGCGGCGCTCTCCCCCACTTCCCCTCTCGCTGCGCCTCACTTCCGCTGGCTAGCGGAAGCGGGGGCTGGCGGCGCGCAGCCGGGGTCTGGAGGAATGGCGGGGGCGGGGCCGGGGGGGGTGCCTACCGAGGCGGTCCAGGGGCCTCTCGCCCCCGCCCTTTGAGTCGGGACCGGACAGGTGAGGATTTCCCCTTCTTCGGCCCAGTCCTAGGTCGCCAGGCCCTCCCCGGGAGGCCTTGGGTTACTGCAATGGGGCCGTCGTCCCCTCCCCTCACAGCTGGACGCGGAGGCCACGTGCCCCCCGCCCACCCTTAAAAGTTTCTTCCCACTGAGGCCCCGCCCAGTCTTTTTTTTCCCGGGGGCGCCTTCTTGGGTGTTTTTGCTGGTCCCTTGGCGTTCTTTTGCTGTTTTGGAAGCAGTCACCAGGATTTGAGGGATACACGTGCCCCCATGGGGAAACAGACCCAGCAAGGGGAAAGGACTTGCATAGTGCCACAACATGAGTAAGTGGCCCACCTCAGCCAGGCTTTACGGATAACGTACTGAACGCCTACTATGTTCTTGTCCAGTTCTAAACCCATTGGCATTGAGTCCATTCCGACTCATAGCGACCGTATATGACAGAGTAGAACTGCCTCAGGGTTTCCAAGGAGCGGCTGGTGCATTTCGACTGCCAGTCTTTTGGTTAGCAGTCGAACGCTTAACCACTGCGCCACCGGGGCTCCTGTCCAGTACTAGGCTCTGAGAATACCGTAGTAACCAAAGGCGACATGGTTACTGCCTGCCTGGAGAGTATAGTTTAGTGGAGGGAGTCAAACATTAAACACGTAATCATGGAAGTAGAAGTATAAATACAAAATTTTACAATTATTATGGAGGAAGCAAAAAATAATAAAATACCTAAAATATTTTAGACAGGGTGGTCAGAGAAGATTTCCTGAAGGAGGTGACACTTAAACTGTCACTTGAGACATTATGACAAGAACCAGAAGCATATTCCAGACAGAGAGAGTAGCCCTTGGAGTTACCTCATTTCGCAAAGAACTTGGCCTGAGTCATCCCCGATATTCAGGAAGGTAGGCATACTATGTGTCAAGCACTGTGATGAGGACATGGAATATAATGTTTGTGCTGGTCCATGGGTAGCTCACTATCTAGTAAGAGCAATAGACATAAGTAAAATACAAAGTTGCAAGTGTGATAAGTGCTATGAAGGAGAGATGTGGCTAGTACATTGGGATTTTATCCGACGGGGAGATCAGGAAGACTTCTCTGAGGAAGTGGTGATTGAGCTGATACCTGAAATTAGAGTTAGCAAAGTAAGAAGAGCTTTCCAGACTGAGTTTAATAGCGAATGCTAAGGATCTGAGATAGAAAGTAGGATACCTGTTGAAATGGTTAGAGTAGAGATCAACGGGGAAAAATGAAGCTGAGTGACAGGTAGAGGTGAGACCTTTGAGCACCTGGTTTGCCATGTTAAAGATATCGATCCTTATTAAGAACAATGAAAAGATACCCATTTTAATCAGTAGAGGAAAGGACATGATCAGAAATGGGTTGGAGATGGACAAGAGTGGATTCAGAGAGACCAGTTAGGAAGCTGTTGCAGTAATCTAGGCATGAAGTTATTAAATTTTTGATCAGGGTGCTTGCAGGTCATGACAGAAAGAACTAGTGTATTATAAGGGAACTGTTGAGGAGGTAAAATCTCCAGAGCTTAGTAATTGATCAGGTACGGGATCTGAGGGAAAGAGAGTATCAAGGAAGACTGAGGTTTATAGTTCACGTTACCAGATGAATGGCCATGCCATTCACTGGAATAGGGAAACTGGAAGAGGCTCAGCTTTTGGGGAAAATACCATGAGCTACTCTTTTTTTTTTTTAATAACTCCTCCCTTGATTAGGAGGGACTTTCACTGTATATTTTTTCTCTGTTGCTTGAATTTTTATAGCATGTATTATTTGTATAATATACATTAAAAAAAGTATAAGTTAAAAATCTTTTAGAACTTCATCACATTCCTAACAACCATAATTACATGATATAGAATGTAATGAATATGTATCACTAAGAGTTCAGCTGAGAGAAGTGTTAGGAAGTTCAGTGAGGATGTCTTGTGCATTCTGGAGCTGTGGCTAACAGACCTTTGTCCCTTCCCACCCCACCCCACCACCTCCCTCACCCCAATACTGATGTCTTTACCTTAAAAAGAGAAATCCTAACAGTGATGGAAAAATCGTATTGATTAAGGTAGGGTTGCATGGCTGATTATTGTAATTGCTGTCAGTAAGTTGTACGCGTATAGAAAGTTGAATTGGCAAAAGTTGTGTGATAGATATATTTACAGTTGTGTGAGATATATGTACAATGACAAAAAAAAAAAGTCGCTGCTGAGGCTCTTACAACCAAACACATCATGGGATTTTGTTCCTTGATTTGGAGGTTTAAGGTCATGGTTTCATGGGACATCCCAGTTAATTGGGCTAATAACGTGTTTAGTGCTTCTGTGCTACTTTCTAGTTCGTCATGTAGTGCCTGGGGTCTTAAAAGCTTGCAGGCGGCCATCCAAGGCACTCAGTTGGTCTCTATTCACCTGGATCAACAGAAGAAGAAGGAGAGACAGGAATAGGAGGAGGATATGGAATGTGTGGCTAATTGACTCCATGAACAACTGCTTGCTTTGCCATGAGACTGGAAGAACTGGATGGTGCCTGGCTACCATTAGTGAACAGTTTGATCAAAGATTCCATACAAGAATTCTGATCAAAAAGGGCACGATGCAGAACAGAAGTTTAAATTCTTATGGACTCTAGACTTTCTGGAGCTATAGAGGGTAGATGAACCCCTGAAACTGTTATTCTGAGATAATCTTTAAACCTTAAACCAAAAATATCCCCTCAAGTCATCTTAAAACTGAACAATAATTGAGCTTAACTAGTAAAAAAGACCTGCCTTGAGCACTGTGCTTCTTTAAGAACTACCTATATAGGATCAAATTGACAACAGCAACTCAAAAGATTAGATAGGAACTTTAGGAGACAGTTTATGTTAATGAAGGAGGAACAACTCAGAAAAAGAGGGTGAGAATGGTTGCACAACTCAAAGAATGTAATCAGTGTCGCTTAATGGTACATGTAGAAACTGTTGAATTGGTGTATGTTTTGCTGTGTGTGGAGCCCTGGTGGCACAGAGGCTAAAGCACTCAGCTGCTAACCAAAAGGTCGGTGGTTTGAACCACCAGCTGCTCCGTGGAAGAAAGATTTCTGTATAAAGATTAAAGCCTTGGAAACCCAATGGGGCAGTTCTACTCTGTCCTACAGGGTTGCTATGAGTTGGAATTGATAGTGGGCTTGGTCTGTGTATATTTTCAACAACAATAAAATAAAATTTAGGGAAAAAAAGAAATCAGAATTTAAGATGGGACTGTGCACACCAGTTTTTCTTGAATAACCATCTTGTTGTTAGGTGCCGTCAAGTTGGTTCTGACTCATAGCTACCCTATGTATAACAGAATGAAACACTGCCCAGTCCTGTGCAACCCTCACAGTTGTTGTTATGCTTGAGCCCATTGTTGCAGCCACTGTGTCAGTTCATTTCGTTGAGGGTATTCCTCTTTCCTGATCCACTAGTTCACCAAGCATGATGTCCCTCTCCAGGAAATGGTCCTTCCTGATAACATGTCCAAAGTACATGAGCCGGTCTCTCCATCCTTGCTTCTAAAGAGCATTCTGGCTGTAGTTCTTCCAAGACAGATTCGTTTGTTCTTCTGGAAGTCCATGGTATATTCAGTATTCTTTGCCAATACCATAATTCAGAGCCATCAGTTATTCTTCGATCTTCTTGTTCATTGTCTAGCTTTCACATGCATATGAGGCAATTGAAATTACCATGGCTTGGGTCAGGCACTCCCTAGTCCTCACAGTGACATCTTTGCTTTTTAACACTTGAAAGAGGTCTTTTGCAGCAGATTTTCCCAGTGCAATGCGTCATTTGATTTCTTGACTGCTGCTTCCATGGGCATTGATTGTGGATCCAAGTAAAATGAAATCCTTGACTATTTAAGTCTTTTCTTCGTTTATCATGATGTTGCTTACTGGTCCAGTTGTGAGGATTTTTGTTTTATGTTGAGATGCAGTTCACACTGAAGGGTAATCTTTATCTTCATCAGTAAGTGCTTCAAGTCCTCTTCACTTTCAGCAAGCAAGGTTGTGTCATCTGCATCTCGCAGGTTGTTAATGAGCCTTCCTCCAATCCTGATGCTGCGTTCTTCTTCATATAGTCCACCTTCTAGGATTATTTGCTTGGCACACAGAGTAGAATAACTATCTACCTTGCTTTAAATGGGAGCCCTGGTGGCGTAGTGGTTAAGAGCTTGGCTGCTAACCAAAGGTCAGCAGTTCGAATCCAGTAGCTGCTCTCTGGAAACCCTGTGGGGCAGTTCTGTTCTGTCCTATAGAGTTGCTATGAGTCGAAATCGACTCAACATCAACGGGTTTTGTTTTGTTTTTGCTTAAAATGACCTGTGGCCCTTTCTAAATTGAACAACTGTAGCACTTTATCAGACTCTTAGTTATGTGGAATTAGTCTGTTAGATGGTGCCTAATATCCATTCCTGGGCCTCCCACACCCTCATCCCATCCTGGTCTCCCTCTTAGACTCCATCCCCATCCTTGTTTGGCAGGGTGCTGGTTGGCAGAGGTGTTCCAGGCAGGGATCAGGTAAGGCTGTTTTGTACATTACTTGGTATTTTAAAATGCTGAAACCTTAATAGTATGTTTTTTAGGCTGCATCAAAAATGTCACTGTTATAAGGAGTCCAAAAACCAAGCCAAACCTGTTGCTGTCGAGTCGATTTTGACTCATAGCAACCCTGTAGGACAGAATAGGACTGCCCTGTAGGTTTCCAAGGAACAGCTGGTGGATTCAAACTGCCGACCTTTTGGTTAGCAGCTGAGTTCTTAACATTGCTCCACCAGGGCTTCTTATAAGAAGTAAAAAACCAAAAATCAAACCAATCCCGTTGTTGTCAAGTTGATCCCAACTCACAGCAACCCTATTGGACAGAGTAGAACTGCTCCATAGGGCTTCCAAGGAGCGGATGGTGAATTTGAACTGCCGACCTTTTGGTTGGCAGCCAAGCTCTTAACCACTGTGCCACCAGGGCTGCTTGTAAGGAGTAGCTGTGTGAAAATCTGTATTGTGTTTATTATTTGGATGTTGTGGAGGATATTGCCCCCTTTATCATGCCGAGGTCCTCTGCAAAAACTCATGGGAGAGATTTCTTTTAAGGTCCAGTGCTGGGATAAGCTGTGCTTCTTCCAAGCAGCTATTAAGTTTTTATCTTACTGGCAGTACAGATTCTTTAACTGATCTATACTTTTCTCTTTGCTTTGTCTACTGGAAAAATCAGAGCCAAGTTAGGAGCTTGGCAATTCTGCAGGTCTTTATGGTATGCGTTCTGTGTACCTCTGGCTTCATTTTATTGTCCTAGCTTTGTTTTCCCTTCACAATGCCTGTTTTCTAATTGTTTTTATTAAATTATGAGTAAGTATAAAATAATACTTTAAAAATATATGTAACATTTAAAGAATAGAAGTACAATGAATGCCAGTTAAGCAAGGAAAAAAAAAAAAAAACCCTAGGAATTCCCAGTGTGTCCCAACTCCCATCTCATTTCCTACTTCTTCAGAAAAAACCACTATTCTGACTTTTATGTTTATGATTCCCTTGCTTTTCTTAATTGTATACCATACATACTTGTATTCTAAGGTATAAATTGTTTGAACTTACACAAATGGAATCATACTGTATATATTCGGCAGCTTGCTTTCTTCATTCAGCATTGTATTCGGAGGTTCATCCATGCTGTAATGTATAACTGTAGTTCATTAATTCATTGCTGCCTAAGACTCCACTGCATGAGTATGCCTCAGTTAATGAATCCCATCCACTGTTGATGGCTGTTTGGGGAGTTGTCAGTTTTTGCTATTGCTAACGGTTTGCTACAGACACCTTGTATATGTCTACTGTTCTGTATGTACTGACATTTCTCTAGGAGAGGATTTCTCAACTTTGA